CTTAACAAAACCAATCACCACCATTCCGAAAAATATCAAACCTGGAACTAGAGCTGAAGAAGACATATGAACCCGTAGCGAGACCAGTTATACCGTACCGTCAAACAAACCATGAAGATTTGTGGATCTGGCGCTAACGTTCCACAAGTCCAACTCTCCGAACTGATCTGAAACATCCTCCGAGGCAGAACCGAGCAAGCCTTTGAACCAACCTCAACCCCAAGCTACGAGATATCCTAGCGTAAAGAGAATACAATCGATAGCCACCGTCGACAATCCGGATCACACAAAGCATGACCATAACCGACGGAGAATGACTCGCCACCGTCGAATAGAACCACCATAAGACCCTACTCCACCCGAGCAAACAACATCTCCGACGAAGAGAAAGATTTGAAAACAGATCTAAAGAAAACTAGATTTACAATTCTAGATCTCAAATCCAACGCAATCAAGAGGAAACTAGCAAAGAAGAAAAATAAATAGCATAACGAAAAATAGAGACATAGCTCCGACGCTACCGGAGCCGCCGGAGCTACACATTGGAATCGCGATTAAAGAGACGGCGCACTCTTTATTTATAGTATGAGTTCTTTAACCAAATACAGTATACGAAGATCAATGTTTTTTTTTTTNTTTTNGAGACAAACCGAAACTTGATCATATATTCACACCCAAATAAAAATCAAATAAATTCATCTTAACTAAACTGATATGATTACATGTAGTCGTAGATGAAGTAAATTGGTGTTATTATTTTTGGATTTCTATGGTTAGGAATCCTAACTTAGGGATTATTTTGTGCTAGTTTTGATTTTCGAATGTACATACAATTGTAATTTGAGAAAATTATGCAATCTATCATTTATTTTGAAATTATTTATCAAATCTACCATAATTTTTTAATTTTGCAAAACCTATCACAAATCTAAATTTATCTTTCGCTTAATTTAAAAAGATTTTTTTACTCTCTTGATAAATTTATCTTCTCCTCCCTCTCTAACTTACGTTCATATCTCTCTTTTTTCTTCATTCACAAAACACACAGATGGAGATGGCGGTGAACAGTGACGAGCACATAGACGGCAATGAACAGT